AAACTAAAGCTATGTTTATTTCACCTTCAAATAATATCTATAATACTATCAGTAATACTAGTGATTTCCAGATCACTCTTCAAGATGAAAGCTTACAATTTTCAGAAACAGAAAAACTTTTAGGTGTCCATGTTGATCATACACTGAACTGGAAAACACAAGTCAAAATGACACTGAATAAATGCAATTCATTACTATACCTTCTTTTGAGAATAAAACAATTTCTAAATGTTCATGTAAGGAAAATTTTCTTTAATGCATACATTCTTCCCCACTTAGACTATTGTTGCACTATTTGGGGAAATTGCAGTAAAGAACTCTTAAATGACCTGTATAAATTTCAAAAACGGGCAGCACGAATAATATTGGACAAAGATTTTGATGCACCCACTGATGATTTTTTTTCTGAATTAAATTGGATGAAATTTTCTGAAAGAGTAAATTATAAAAAAGCTATTTTAGTGTACAAGTCCCTTAACAATCTTCTCCCTGATTATATGCAAAATCTTTTTACTCACACTGAAAATACACATTTAAGATCATATCAACAAAAACAACTTCAAATCCCAAAACCTAGACTTGAGTTCTGCAGAAAATCTTTATCATACTCAGGGTCAAAACTTTGGAATTCTCTTCCCTTAGATATCAGAAACTCCACAAATTTACAATCGTTCAAAAATAATTATCTTAAATGGTGGTTCTCTGGTGGGAATAAAACACATCAAGTTGTATTATAAAATGATAAATGTATATCTGAATTGCAATTATTATATTCTTATATAATATTTTTTCCCTAGATTTTCATTTTACATGTTTCTTAACTATATTGTATTTGTAATTATGTTGTTGTTTATCATACCTTTTGTTTCAATGTAAATGTTTATATTATGTACATTGTATATTTGATAGAGGCTCATAGGGAAGACTGGGCATGCCCAACTATGTTGCCTCTTTAAATAAAGTCTTTATTATTATTATTATTATTATTATTTGATAAGTCGGGATTAAACTTTATGCATCTAAATATTTGCCATCTTAACAACAAATTTGATGAATTTAGGCATACAATTGATAATGTAAAAGAACTAGATTTTATTGGCCTATGTGAAACATTTCTTAATGAAAATTATTCTGACAGTGAATATGTTTTAGATAATTATCAGTTATTCCGTTGTGATAGAGGTTCGAATGGAGGTGGTGTTATATTATATACAAAACAGTGTTACCCTTGCTATCACAGGACAGATTTGAATAGACAAACAATAGAAGCAATATGGATTGAGGTTAAATGTGAAAATCAAAAATCTTTCCTTGTTGGATATATTTATAGACCTCCCTCATCACCTTCTAGCTGGAATACAGATATTGAAGAAATACTTGAAAAGATTTTTCTAGAAGGCAAAGAATTAATTCTATTTGGAGACTTTAACTATAATTATGTCAATTCAGCAGCAATTAATAACACATGGAATCATGTTACAGATACATTCAATCTCCAACAACTTGTTAAAACACCAACCAGAGTTACTTCCACTACATCTACTATAATTGATCATATCTATTCAAATGTTCCTGAGAATATACATAACATACATGTACCGGTCCTTACACTTAGTGATCACTACCCAGTCTGTTTTGTGCGCAAGTCTAGACATAAGCCTAACATGGACCTGTACATTCTGTAATAACTTATAGAAATATGAAAACTTTTAATGAAAATGAATATCTCATTGAATTACAAAATCAACCTTGGTCAGTACTTGACATATTTACAGATACTGATGATGCATTAGACTATTTTATTAATACCTTAACATCAGTCCTAAACAAACATGCACCACACATAACAAGCGAGTTAAATATGTAAATCAGCCAGACTGGTTCACTCATGAAATAGCCGAAACAATTAAAGAAAGAGATAAAGCAAAACAGGCCGTAAAATATGATACTTATAAAATACTTCGTTCAAAAGTCAAGAAACTTACTGCAGAAGCTAAAAAGAATTTTTTCAAACACAGTAATCAATGAAAATAAAAAAGATACAAAGAAAATGTGGCAAAATTTAAAACACCTATCAGGGAAAAAATACTAATACTCAAACTTCAATTCATTAACGATGAAAATGGAGAACCAATCACTGATCCTGCTGAAAGCGCAACAAAATTTAATGAATTCTTCACAAGTATTTTTAAAAGGGCACCTACTGTTAAAAACTATCCGAATCAATCATATAAAACTAGACTAAGAGATCATAATTCAAATTGTTTCAAAACTGACCAATTGTTTCGAATTCCTCCAATATCTGAAAAATTTGTGAGGAACGTGCTTGAAACTCTAGAACTGTAGCAAAGCAACTGGCCTTGACCAAATAAGTGCTCGTTTCTTAAAACTAAGCTGCCATGTTATCTCAAGCCATTTGGTTAAAATAATTAACCTAAGTATTGATACAGGTAAATTTCCTACCGCATTTAAAAATGGCTAAAGTAATTCCAATCTACAAAAAAGGGTCAAAATTTGATAAAAATAACTATAGACCAATCTCTGTTTTACCTGTTTTATCAAAAATCATTGAAAAGCATGTATCTGATAGTCTCAAACAATTTCTTGAAGACAATAACCTTTTTCATCAAAAAAATCTGGGTTAGAACAAGTCACTCTTGTGAAACTGGTCTAACATCCATAGTAGACAACTGGATTGATCAAATCAATAACAACAATCTTGTAGGAACCATATTCTTGACCTAACAAAAGCATTTGATCTAGTTAACCTTACACTACTCATTGAAAACTTAGTTGTTATAACATCTCAGATCATACATTACAGTGGATCCAATCATACCTAACAGAAAGATCTCAGAAGGTATCTGTGTCAGGCACCACATCTGAGTCTTTGGGTGTATCAGCTGGAGTCCCTCAAGGATCTGTCTTAGGGCCCATTTTATTCTTGATCTATATAAATGATTTACCTTTACATCTTGAACACTCAGAAATGGATATGTTTGCAGATGATGTTACAATAAGTGCTATAGTACGTTCTACTTAAACTTTAAATTCAAAACTTCAAAAAGACCTAGACTTTATTCAAGAATGGTGCACTCACAGTGCTATGATACCTTATACAGACAGAACTTAAGCTATGTACAGATCAGCCGAAAAAGAAACCAACATTACCTTCATACATCAACAAGTACACCACTTCAATTACTTAACAATAATATAGTATTCACTGAATCTGAAAAAGCTTCTTAGTGTTCAAGTTGACAATTGCCTAACGTGGAACAAACAATAAAGAAATTCAATAGTAATCTCTATCATCTTTTACGGTTTAAACAATCTCTCAATCTACAAACTTTTCTACAATGCCCATATCTTACCTCATGTAGACTATACTGTTCAATTTGGGGAAATTGCTCAAAAGAACTTCTTGAGAGAATACTAAAATTTCAAAAACGAGCAGCTCGCATTATCTAGATAAAGCTGCAGATGCACCATCTGAACCTCTTTTTAAAGAATTAAGATGGATGAAATTTAATGACAGGGTTGAGTACAAAAAGGCAATCCTGATATACAAATCATTACATGAAGAAAACTCACCATGCTACATGAAAGAAAAATTTCATTTTATCTCAACTTTACATAACAGAAATCTTAGATCAACAAACAATCTTAATCTACATGTCCCTAAACCTAATCTTGAGTTTTGCCGTAAATCACTTTCTTATTCTGGAACTAAAATCTGGAATAATATACCACTTTATGTACGTCAGTCTGAAAGTACTGAAAAATTCAAAAAAGCTTACATAAAGTGGAAGTACTCTGGTTAAACCAATACCAAAGTATTATGTTTGTATAATTATGTTTACTGCAGTTTTCATTGTTAATGGTTAATATTTATGTTTAGTTTGTCATTGCATTTATAACTAGTTAATACCATGTTTAATAATATTACATTGTCTTTTGTATAATTGTTTGATGTAAATATGTTGTAAATATGTTGAGGTACATATGGAAGATCGTTTTGGCGAATATGTAGCCTCGTTAAATAAAGCCTTTATTATTATTATTATTATTATATTGCTACACTGTCTGGGGATAACCATTCCGTTAATGATTAATCAGCATTCTAGAATTGTTCATATTAACTTGACATAAGACTGCCTAAAAATGTATTATTTCTCACTGCAGAGGAATACTTTTACCACAACATAAATCATCTCCATGACACTTCCTGAACAGTCACCTGATTTCCAGGACAATTGGACGTTATGGCGTATGTATAACCGTATACTGTTCAGTATCTACACTAGGATGCATGATTTAATATGGGAGTCACGCTATACTTTCAAAGATTATGCACATTTTGGAAACATGTGTGAAATCCCTCATCTGAAATGATGAACTTTCTCAAAAAGTGTAAGATGTCCAGTCAGCCTTTTTATTTACATACACACAGGAAACCGAAGAAAGGTAATTGTTAATTAAATAAAATCAATATTTTCATTGAAAAAGATAAGAACAATAACTCTTGTCACTGTTAATAAATAATTCCATTCAAAAATATCATTGGTTAAATATTTTGATGAATAAAGTTGTTTATGAAGTGCAGACAAATAGCCAGCATAGACAGACAAATCATTTCATAAAAGAATATATTTATTTCTCAAATTAATGCAATTAATGTTAAACCATTCTTAGGGGATGCAAATAGCAGTACTGTAAGTAGTATTGCCTTTAGCAATTTTGACTTAGACCTGTGTAATAAAAGTCCCAATCCATTAAATTTGTAAATATAAAACAAAGCATTTTTTTTTGACTAGGTGTCGACAAAACAAAATGACAACTCATTAGATCATAGTGCAAGTCTAAAAATATTTCAGTAAATAACTTTAAAACCTACAAAAATGATATAGCCCAAAAGTGTCATGTTTCAATCAACAGATCAATGCTGTTTTTTTTTCCAAAATAGATAAAAAAATACAAATGAAAAAATATGAACTCACATCTCCACAATCTGCTGCCGAACATAAAAGGACTGATGCAATTGCACAGACAAACAATAATTCAAATTGTATCCAATTCATTTTCAATAGAATATAATGCTAAATAAATCCTGGTTACTAGATAAAATGAAACATATGTAATTTTTCGTGCACAACTGCAATCATCAGCAGCCGGATATTGGATTTTTTTCTGCACGGTGCGTAAGATAACTGTTGTTATGAACAAGGCTAAGAAAGGTAATACTTCACTAAATGTTGTTAATTTTTTTAAAACCACTAAATGTTTTTCTACTAACTATCCATATTTTTAGTACATCATTGTATCTTTTTCATATGGATCGATATCAAAGATTTTTTTTAATCTTTGTTTCTTTAAACAATAAGAAATAATTATGCTGTTAAAGTCATAATTCTGGGTTCCAAAACTTTATAAGCCACTTTTTAATAATTTGTTCTTTCATCTAATTTAGTCTTCCACAGTATATGAGTAAGATACAATCTGGAACGCACCTAATGTAGATCTTCTGTAGATCTCCTGTCTGTAGTGCTTCTAGATTGCTGATCGACCTCCATCATCAGCGTGGTACTCGTCGTCATTGATATTTCGGCCCTTATCCATGTATATCTGCTAGAGTGGGAGAGCGAGCTGGTCCATGTTCCCTGTGCTCCCATCTCTACTGCTCTAGCCTGTCTTGCACTCTCCTCTGCCCCCTGACTTCTGACTGAATCATGGCACGTCTCTCCTTCTGGTCTGCCTGGTTCCACAGGGGTGTCTTGGTAGCACCAATTCCATGCCGTCCCACAGCGGTCATTCCCACATTGTCCTTGAGCTTCAGTGAGCTTTCAGTCTGGTTAACGTCTCTGATGCTGACCACTTCCTGCCTGTAGGGTTACAATCTCTGCTTCCCGGATTTGCTCATCTGGGGAATCTCTGAGGATGAGCACCAATCTTGTCTTCGCTGTCTTGAATTCCTCTACCAGTGAAGAAAATGTGAGTTGAAGCTGATTGATCTTTCCATACAGTCCTACACCAGAGAAACTGGGTGGTATTCCTAACCACTTGCGGAGTTGTCTGCTTGTAATCCTCTCAAAGGCTTCAATTTTTGAGCTTGGTATCTCATACAGCATCATAGGCCAGATAAGCCTTGAAAGTATAAGGCATGCTGGTATAACAAGGCTTTGAACTTCCCAGGGAGATTGCTTTTGTCTATTTTTTAAGCTCGTCTTCCACCTAGTTTTCTAGCTTCTTGACATTGTCACCATCTTGCAGGCGTGCATCAAACCACTTCCCTAGGCACTTGATTGGACTCTTGGTGATAGATGGGATATCCTCATTCTGTACTCTGAGAATGAACCTATCTGTGGTTTTGCCATTCTTGATAATGAGAGATCTGGACTTTGCGGCCTTGAATTTCATTCTAGCCCATGAAGCGACATCTGTCAGGGCTGTTAACATCCTTCTCGCCTGTACATGGGTGGTTGTGGTGAGAGTGAGGTCATCCATGAAACCTCGGCTGGATGGCAAGTAAATCCCTAAATCTGTCTTTGGTCCACGAGTCTCTCTAAGAGCAGCGTTGATGAGAAGATTCATTCCCACGGGAAACTGTACATTCGGTTACAATACCTTTCTCCAATTTCTGCCACTTTGTCAGCTGGTCAACCACAGAGAACCAGAGTTTGATGCCATCCAAGTAGCTGGTGATGATTTTTCTGCACATGATTTGGGACATGGTAATGTCGGAGGGCTGTGTAGATCAGCTGGTGTGGGATGGAACCATATGCGTTAGCTAGATCAAGCCAAACTACTGTGAGGTTCTTCTTCCCTGCCTTTGCCTCTCTTCTGAGCTGTGAAATAGCGCTTATGTGCTCTATACAACCTGAGAACCCAGGCACTCCTCCCTTCTGTTGATGTACTTTTGGATGTGAGGTAAGATGTAAGTCTTCTTGCAAGGATAGCAAAGAAAATCTTCCCTTCAACATTGAGTAATGAGATGGTCCGGAACTGGTTGACATTCTTGGAGTTCCTTTCCTTGCGAGTAAATATTCCCTCTGCTTCCTTCCAGGCATCTGGCATTTCACATTTCCTCCAAACCACCTTGAGAAGCCTCAATAACCTTTTCAGTAGAAGTGGGCACATCCTATACACTTTGTAATGGATGGCGTTAGGTCCAGGAGCAGAACCAAATCTTGCTTTTTTGATGACCTCTTTTACATCTCCCAGTGTTGGCTCTGTAGTACGAGTTCAATCTCTTGAAGTGCTGCTGGGTCAATTCGTTCACAGTCACTTAATGCATTAGTTCTACTAGCGTCGGAGTGGGTCTCATGAAGGTATGTTTCAACTTCTTCCAGTGGGGCTTCAAGAACACCCGATCGCTCTTTGTCAAGTAGAGTTCTTGCAAACTTGTAGGGATTGGCTGTAAACGCCATTCTCTTTTTGACTCTCTCCCGGGCCTTCCTTCTCGTGTTTTCGGCTTTCCGCAGGGATTTCAGCTCCGTTCGTGCTGTGTCTCTCAGCTGAGACAACCCGAGTCGCTCTAACGATGAGCTTTTCTTGTATCTTAGCTTCAGCTGACGGAGTTCCCTTCGAAGGTTCTCAATGCGTAACTGCCGTCTGTTAGGTTTTGGAGCCTCCTCGTTGGTTCTTGCAGACCTTTCCGCATTTGCATGGAACTGTTGTTTCTGGTGCTGTTTTCAAAGTTGATTGTGCGGGCCGCGTCGATTCCATAAAATCCGTCCAAGTGAGTCTATCATCCTCCCCCCTCTCGGTAGACTCTGGGGGTGTCTTTCATTGTTGGAGTCTGTAGCTTGCTTGTGGGTGTCCTCTCACGAAGACTGCAGTTCGGGTTGCTAACCCTAGTGCCCCTGTTCCAGTCTATTCCTGGTGGTCATCTGTCTTTCCAGTGTCACCAATCTGTTCTCGATTGTCATCTAGTCTCTGTATGTCCAGTTGTTAGATGAGTAAGATACAATCTGGAACGCACCTAATGTAGATCTTCTGTAGATCTCCTGTCTGTGGTGCTTCTAGATTGCTGATCGACCTCCATCATCAGCTTGGTGCTCGCCGTCATTGATATTTCGGCCCTTATCCATGTATATCTGCTGGCGAGTGGGCCCACCGTCTAACGGTGTGGGGGTCGATTGCTTCCAGCTCTTTTCCTTACTTTCGTATCAGCCACAGCCAGCTAGACGCACGCTCGACAGCTTGGCTCAGTCTCTGGATTGTCCTACGTCTATCCCTTCCAGTAGTTCCTATCGCTGTCATCAGTCGGCATTCAGATTGCGAACAGAATCCTCGCACACCTACTTCAATAGGAAACAGCCATGTATGCCAGCCTCTCTGTCTACATTGGTTGAGTAGCTCTGTATACTTTGCTTTCTTCCTCTCGTAGGCCTATTCACATCTTGTCTCCCAAGGTACTGTTAACTCAATCATGACGAGTTTCTTTCCTTTTTCAGACCACAGTACAATATCTGGTCTTAAGTTGGTCTGGACATTACTTGGGAAAACAAGCTTCTTGCCAAGATCCACCTCCATGTTCCAAACTGTTGTGCCATCTAGAATTGATGGTTGGTGTGGCGACTGTGTCTTGGCAGTTTCACCCGGTTTCACAAAGTTGATGTGACAAAGCTGGGGGTTACTCCTTCGTTCCTTTTTCCTTTCACCTTCAAAAAATATGATAAACAAGATCGACAAGGAAAGGCGGCGTTCAATGAACGCAGCCCCCACCCGACCCAGCAACAAGCGCCAGCGGCAAGGAGCCCAGGAGGACCCCAAAGAAAAATAGGACAGGGCATAAGGCAGAGCACGGGCAGGCAAACCACTACATAAGAATAAATAATTAGTAACTGATAATGAACTAAAAGAAAACAAATAAATGATTTAATATTAGGCCCATAAAGTCAAAAGGCACAGGGGAAGGGGACATGAGACACGGGGAAGGGGGGGGGGAATAAATAAAATAAATAAAAACTAGAGACAAAGGGGAAGATACTTACCGTAGACGAGAAACAACAAGAGACACAAGCAAAAGTGTAACCAAAACAGTATAAAACAACATAGACAAGCATCTGAGGAACACAGAGGGGCGCCGCCTTGGAACGGTCAGCAGCATAATAATGACTACTGGGGAGTTTAAACCGGTTAATGGTGCACCAAACCTCACTCTTAGCCCCACTATGTTCCTATAAACAAGACAGTGTAAATAAAATGAATCCCCGCCAAGTAAAATTCTAACAGTTGTTATGGTTACAAAAGGTTAAATAAGTAAAACAACAAAATGATCATGTAGAAACATATAAAAGTAAACCCAATGTAAATAAGTAAAACACCAAAATGATCATATAGAAACATATAAAAGTAAACCCAATCAAGCAAGTCAGTCCTCCCTGAGGACGTTGACATGACGCCATCGATACCTTCCTTGTGTTAGTGCAGTGGAACAGGAAGAAATGACATGCTCCAGAGTGCCAGGACGATCGCACAGGTCACATGCTGGATCCGTTGTAAGTCCCCACCGGTGGAGATTAGCTGGGGAGCGTAAGAGGTCATGAACTGACCTGATAAGTAAGGATAACCGTAATGGTTCATACTTCCATATGTCTTCCCAAGTCAGCTTCCTGTCTATGGTGTTCCATGTAGTCCATGCTCCCTGTGCTCCCATCTCTACTGCTCTAGCCTGTCTTGCACTCTCCTCTGCCCCCCCCCTGACTTCTGACTGAATCATGGCACGTCTCTTCTTCTGGTCTGCCTGGTTCCACAGGGGTGTCTTGGTAGCACCAATTCCCTGTCGTTCCACAGCGGTTATTCCCATATTGTCCTTGAGCTTCAGTGAGCTTTCAGACTGGTTAACAGTCTCTGATGCTGACCACTTCCTGCCTGTACGGGTTACAATCCCTGCTTCGAGGATTTGCTCACCTGGGGAATCTCTGAGGATTCCTCTACCAGTGAAGAAAATGGGAGTTGAAGCTGATTGTATAAAAATGGTATACTAAAGACCCAATTATACCCCTAAAAATAATATAATAGATTCCTTTGCAGAATCAAAATGGAACGCTTTTTTTAACATTGATGATACTGAGTGGAAATACCTTTTTGAATGGGTTCACACTGAAACTTGAATGATAGTTACCTCCAATGGCTTCAAACTAGAAAGGAACTTTCGGGTTTTTCATAGCGGACCTTTTAGCCACACCTTTTCCATTCATTGC